TGAGTCCGGAGAAGAAAAGATAATAAATTCACTGAAATTCTGTTGCTTATTTGGATAATTAATTAACGCAGGATATTAGATCTAAAGCGGTGACTATAGCTATTGACGACTATTCGTCACTATTCGCCACTTTTCGTGACTGTTCGCTACTATTCGCACTATTCGAGACTATTCGCGCTATTCGGGACTATTCGCTATTCGCTATTCGGGTTTTCCAGACACTCAAGACAAACCTTTTCCCTAGCAAGGAGAATGACATGCTCTTGTTTTCCTTTTAAGATTACCATATACCTTTAGAGGTGTCTCACAACGAATCAATGAAGCGCATCCAGTTTAAACTGTAGATACCAATACCCCAGTATCAAATTAAAGCTTTAGAGCTGTATGGTTATCAATGAAACTATACCAACATTTTGAAACAAAATGAATTGGCAAATTTTTTATGACCCCTAAATGCAAGCATACAAATCACCTTTTGAAAACTACAAGTGAAAGAGAATTTGTTCTTTTGCCCTCATATTTGGACAGTAGCTAGCTAGCTTAACATATCAACAACAAGTGTGGCTGCGAATGTTTTATTTCAAAATATTTTTCTCTGATAGAGATTTTTGTGCAATTGCTCCCTGTTTTTTTACTGGTAATCCTATTTCAAAAATGTTCTGTTTACTTTCACTGCAATTGAATATGGCCAAACGCAGACACGTTTTTTAGCGCTTTGGGTCCAGAAACCGAGGAACAAATTAAATTTAATTAATGAAAAACCAAATTCGCTTTGACTTGTATTTTTCAAAGGGTGATTCAGACCCTTGCATTTAGAGGTCATAAAAAATTCAACAATTTATTTTATTTAAAAATTCTTGACAATAATATAGTTTGATGGCCAGCTCTGTAAACTTTAATTTAGTGTTTTAGGTATCTACGGTTAAAACCTACGTCGCTTGGATACAAGACACCTCTAAAGGTATGCGGTAACCTTAATCCAACTCATTCCAACAAGCCCTGCTCAAAAAAAGGAAAAAGAAATAAAAATACAAAGTTAACAAAGTTCAGTAGATTGATCCCATCACTAATAGGGACCTTTGATCTTTATATTGATTTTACCACCTAAAGAGTTTGGATGATATTTTTGCTCTACTGTAGCATTTAGCTGACGAGTTAAGCAAGCTGAAGAGAGAATATGATGAGTTGAAAGCCTACACCAGTACCCAAGACACGAGAATTGGAGAACTGGAATCAAAAGCAAAGGTACAAGAAACTGAATTACTTAGTCAATTACAGCTATGATCTTTAAGTTGATATATAGAGGTGAATATATTTGGGTTAGATAGAGTTCTATTGGGTAATTCGGTTGAAGGACTGTTGAATACATTTTGTATTAGTATATCATTTTAATTAACCTTAGGCAAATAAATTTTGGCAGCTGAGTTTGGTGCCACATGACAAAGCTGATTAAGGAAACCAACCAAAATGTTTTGCCCATCAGGAAGGCAGTAAACCTAACCCACCCAACCACCCTAAAACAGCCTTAATCTCAATAGATCCCAATGGTCCATGGAATGTAAAGGACTGAAAACAGTTTGAAAGATAACTTTCTATTCTAAAGTTTGGTGACTCTCAGTGCTATCAGTGAGACCAAAAACAGCCATGGTTAGTTTGCAGTTGAATGTGGAAGAATTACTAAGATATTCATTTTGAGTATTTGTCATTGTTTTATTTGAAAGTCATATATTAAGAGCTCACTGAAATTAATGATTTATCAACTGAGCAAAATTTCTGCAAATAAACAAAACCTGGCTTTTGCACTGGTAATGGCTCCTAATGCAACTAAACATTTGATACTTGGGAACCCGAGAATGCACAGTTTTTAAAAAAAGGTGAATCAGTTGTGGCACAGTACTGTTCAAAAGTAAGTTACCACTGTCTCGAGAGATGCGGTGGCTCCATAAGGTAATCATTTATGGCGTTGCGCGCGCAAGTGTTTTTGGATTCTGTTTTGACTTCGCTTTTACACCCAGTCCTCTCAAACTTACTACATGTAATAAGCAATGATTGAATAGCGTTTTACTATCATCTCTGGGAAAATTTGGGATTTTAGTTTTGAATTATAAATGCCCAAACAAATGTGTCTTTGGGAACCCGAAAATCATATGAACCACATATGAACTCAGTCAAATGACCCTGCTCTTCATAAGTTCTCGTAGCTGAGTGGATAGAGCGCCCGCCCGGTGTTCGGGAGGTCATGCGTTCGATTCCTGTTGGGGATTCAGATTTTTTCTTTGTCCCACGCTCGTGTCTGTTGATCAGCTCGCTTTTCACAAATGCGTTTTTGTATTTTTTTTATGGCTTTATTTGTGATTTTCTTGAATTTCCTTTAGTGAAATCTTCCAAAATTTTCACAGCACATTGCATCCTCCAGGATATTAATTTTAAACATGAAAAAAGTAGTGTTTGTACAGGCAGTTTTATCAATTTTTGCAAATTTATGTCTTTAACCGCTGCGAAAAAACTGGTCTTATACATTTCCCTGAAAAACGAGCTCCGACTAAGGTAAACTATTTACTACCAGTCTGCCAAATTTTACGGAATTTCACCGAAGGAAACGCGAGAAAATTCACTGTCAGTTTTGCTTTTTGTGCTCATGTTGGTCTTATAAAATATCGAGAAACACTGAAGATTTCCCAGGGGAAACGCATGCGGGTGACGCACGGGTGACGCATGCGCTTTAGAGACCAGACGGCGATTTGTGACTGAACGTGGTAAAGAAAAAAACAACGGGGCCGAAATTTAAACCCAGGTCTCACTGCCTGGGTAATAAATGATATTATTGTATTTGGTACGTAATTAAGAGATAACCTGAACAGAATCGTTACTTTTTTGTTAAAACAGGACAGAAGCAGCGCCTTGTCAGGCGATGTCCGAAGCAAACGCCATACCCAACAAGTGAGCTGTTATAACGATTACACGAGTTGGGACGCCCGCTCCGACGCATCCATAATGTACCTGGACAGGCAGGATGTTTCCTGCCCCCAACCCTATTTCTTGTCCAGATTTAGGCTCGTAAGGCGGGGAGATTATGGGTCCGCAGACGTCCGTTACAGTTACCGATGCTGCAGAGTTTTGTGATTTAGCACCGGGACGTTTTGTCATCGGTTAAGTGGTACGGTTTGACTAATGAATAATCAGATTTTATGCCGGCTTTTAGCAAGAGTGGGGTCTTTTTTAAGGCTTTTAGTAGATTTGGTTATTAAGCTTTTCACCGATATGCAAACCAATACATATAGAAAAAATAAATGTGACATTAGTTTAAACAAACTGTTAGCTACTTATAAGATTGCTTTCACAGACTTTCGGGTCATTCATGGGTTTTAATGGTTTTAAGATCCTATGTACTTGTGGCTGTACTGCATAATGAAATAAAACATGGAATATAAAAAGAATGTTTGCCGTCGAAATGATCATAATGTAACAGTATCTCGTTGCCTTGTCTTTCCTTGTCCACAAAAACTTAGCCGAGATCTCCCGTCTGCTGACGGCAAGTGGTTTAAGGTCATTCCACTGAAATAGAACCTGCACTGAGATTTTTGTGAAACTTTGCCTATTGATTGTTCATATTTTAGGAACTTAAATTTTGAAATAAAAATGAGGGGTCCCCATGTTCGTTTAGGAGCAACAGCACCTTGTTTACACCCATATAAATCCTTATAATAGCACCACGATTGTAGTCACGATTGCTTGCTAAATTCACGTTTCCGACGATTGCTTTTTG